TGGGCCAGTAGTTTAGGGTAGCTGGATGGGACCTTAGAAATCCTACGAAAAGCTTTGTTGGCATCCAAACAATGCCCAGAATCAACGACATTTGCGAGAAGGGCGCTGTTTGTGCTCCTAGTTTGGCCTTTTCCCAGCCATATCGGAAGGTGTTATCGTAATCTCTTAGATAGACGCCAACGTATAGGACCAATATAACCTGTTCCAGGGGAGCAAGTAAAGGAGTAGGTGCACATTAAAGTGGTCTGACTTGTCAAACTATCTTTACCTTCTCTGCGCAAAATAGGGCTTGCAGAGAAAAGTATTCGAACGCTTGCTTCTAGGAATGTTTGTTAGACACCTTAACGAAGGCGTCCTCTTTGGAGTCCACTCACAGCGTCCCCCTGAAAATGGACTTTGAGGAACAGCGGTTCCTTTTAGGCAGTTGATGGGGTGGGATGTTCCAATCCCTCAGCAATATTCTTTGCGATAAACCGATCACTAAACCAGTTTTTTAGACGCAAACCCTAGATTTTTCTGAGCACCCCCTCGATACTATCCACAGAGCAAAATTTCTTAGTCCATTCTTCCAAACATCAGACTAAATTTCGTTTTTGTTGGAGGGGTACAAAACTGCCGAGGTTCATGCACTGTCCAGATTGGACTTTCTGTCGATAGCCGCTCCTTCGGGCATCGTCGTCAGGACTCCTGCTCAGAAGAACATTTAGGAAATGGAACGCTTCAACGATTTCCATCTCCAACGTGAATATGATTGGCGGATGTGCCTGATTAACCACCTTGTCAGTTAGAAGAGAGAACGTATTGAAGTTAAGTAGAAATTTTGCAATTTCATATACCCAGTCGTCCGGAAACCCCAAGTTCTTTTTTTCCACGCTTTTGGACGAGTCTCAATCATTTAAATATTTCCGAATGTTAGTCCTTTGAATTTCTTTACTCCATTAAATTCAATGTTTGGATTTCTTTCCAATTTACAAGCAAACATCAAAGAAGGAGGCTTCACTCATTCTATGCTGTTGGAGCATGTCCTTTAAAGAACTGTTTATACTTTACACGCTTCTTCAGCTCTCGGTAGAAAGCCACGGTTGCCCGCACCAAAAAGACATAGGTATGTTTATACATGCATGCAAATGATTAAATGAAAGACTATCCTCTCGTTTAAACTGCTTTTAAAACCTCTGTATTTGGCTGCCAGTTCAAAGGTTATATTTTATGTTAATACGGAATGAGTCAACACACGTGTTTCGCAAATACCCTGCAGGGAGACGTTGGCTAGTTGACCTGTTTGGTTCGTAAACACAGCCACGACCACAGATATAATGATAGCAAATTGTAATTAATAGAGTTCCAGAGTTCCATATGTTCATTTTAACCGAAGAAAACATACATGATTACTTCCTCGTATATATCATTCGGAATACTAGGTTAGTAAATCCGGCATGTACTAATACATTCGGCCTTATCAAATTCAAGTTGTCCCAAATGGTAAGTCAGTGCGTTTGTTTTATCCTTCAAACAATGTCTGCGTGTATGTTTTTGTACAAGAACGCCTTGAATGAAGCTTGGCAGCGTCTTTTAATTCGCTTGTCATCCTATGGACTGAGTGAATGCATTCACCAAAAGAAACATTCAGCTTTCTGGTTATAGGCCACTTGCTGGGCTTCCTCGGCAAACCTCTCGCAAAGGAACAAAAAGCGTCGAAAGAGTCGTACTTTATTTTCAGAACTTCAGGTGAAGTACTGAAGGTCAATAGGCTGATACCGGAGACATTGACAAATAGATAAGTTTGCAGCGGTTTTTGGAGCTTGAAAGAGTCCCCTCTTGTAATAAATTTGATAAAGACAGTAATTGTGAATTAAGTCAACCTCGGCACCAAGGTGGGAAAAATAGCCACCTGAACTCAAGGCCTTACCGGAGGACGTATGTGTCCGGTAGTTGTCTGCTGATTTCTAGAGGGATTACTTGGGAAAGAAGGAGGCTTCACACATTCTATGGTGTTGGAACATGTGCTGTAAAGAGCTTTTTATCTTGTGCACGCTTCTTCAGCTCTCGGTAGAAAGCCACGGTTGTACGCACCGAAAAGCCATAGGTATGTTTATACATGCATGTTAATGATTAAATGAAAGGTTCTTCTCTCGTTTGCTAATTAATGAGCTGCTTTTAAAACCTTTCTTAATGGCTGCCAGTTCAAAGGTTGTATTTCATTGTAATACAGAATACGTCAAGGCTCGTGTTGCGCAAATAACCTGCAGGACGACGTTGGTTAATTGACCCGTTTGGTTCGTAAACATAGCCACGACCACACATATAATGATAGCCAATTGTGATTACTATAGTTCCAGAGTTCCACATGTTCATTTTAACGAAAAAAGCATACACGATTACTTCGTGATTCTAGGGTATTAAATCCAGCATTAACTAATACATTCGGTCTAATCAAATTTCAAGTGTCTTAAATGATAAGTCAGTGTGTTTGTTTTTATCCTTCAGAAAATGTCTGCGTGTATGTTTCTGAACAAAAGTGCCTTGATTGAAGCTTGGTATGGTCTTTTAACTTGCTCGTTTTCCTATGAACTGAGCGAATGCCTTTACTTTTACCATTTAAAACCATTTTTGGGGCTTCCTCGGCAAACCTCTCGCAAAAGAATGAAAAGCGTCGGTAGAGTCGTAAATTATTTTAAGAACTATAGGTGAAGTACTGAAGGTCAATAGGCTGATACCGGAAACATTGACAAATAGATAAGTTTGCAGCGGTTTTTGGAGCTTGAAAGAGTCCCCTCTTGTAAGAAATTTGATGGAGACAGTAATTGTGAATTAATTCAACCTCGGCACCTAGGTGGGAAACTATCCACCTGAGCTACGAGGCCCCACAGTAAGACTTGTGTGTCCGGTAGTTGTCTGCTGAATTCTAAATGGATTTCTTTGAACATTCTGCTTGGGCGGTTAGCTTATTTTCTCAGATTTGGTGGATTCCAGACGTTGCGTAGATTGGGCGAGTAACGTGTCCCAAACGCGATTAAACTCACGTCTTCTGGTGGGGTCACGTAGCTCAGGTAGCCGGAACCTGACAAGAATTTATCGATTGAAAAAAATGTGCTAACCAACTACTCTTCTAAATATTTGCGTTTGGTTGTTCTTTAGCTTCCAGCAGTTTTGCTTGGTTTTTAACAACTCTGCATAAATTTCTTCATTTTTGTAGCTTCCCTTGTGATAAATGACAACGGAGTAAACCTTTGTCAAAGAGGGTGTCGCCAGTGGTGGAGTTTTCAGGCCTCTAAATACACTTGGCTTACCTACGAATAAATATAAAGTATTCAAAATAAAATTTGGCAGCACGTGTCAGCATTCGATAAACTCTCTTGAGACCTGGGCATTTATATTGCTATCAAGATGATTAATAAGATAATGGGAGCAAGTAGCAATTACTAAAAAGCTTAAGGTTCGAGGAGAGGAGGGTTCGGTGGAGTGAAAAAAAGGATTTCCTTCAGTGTCAAAGCGGAAGGGGGATGGTGGGCCCTGGAGATGGGCATTTTTATGCAGGTGGCTAACATGGTGGCTTTGGCCCATGGTATTATTGGGGCCTGTACAAATTTCCTCTGCGTTCATATCACTGGTTTACATACCTGATAGTAACCTCCTCTGCCGTTGCAAACGACGTTGCCCAATTGATCTCGGATAGCTTGAACGGTACTTGAAAATCATTATAAGGACCTGTCCGGCATCTGCACAGTGATCTTTATCTATC